CTTTCTTTCTTTCTTTTTCTTTCTTTCTTTAATCCCCTCTTTCTTTCGATGTCTCTTTATCTTCATATCTCTTTAGTTTTATATCATTTTCTTTCTTTCTTTCTTTCTTTCTTTCTTTCTTTCTTTCTTTCTTTTTTTCTTTCTTTCTTTCTTTAATCCCCTCTTTCTTTCGATGTCTCTTTATCTTCATATCTCTTTATTTTTATATCACTTTCTTTCTTTCTTTCTTTCTTTCTTTAATCCCCTCTTTCTTTCGATGTCTCTTTATCTTCATATCTCTTTATTTTTATATCACTTTCTTTCTTTCTTTCTTTCTTTCTTTCTTTAATCTTTTTTTTTTATATCCCTCTTTCTTTTTTCGATGTCTTTTTTATCTTCATATCTCTTTAGTTTTATATCATTTCTTTTTTCTTTCTTTCTTTCTTTCTTTCTTTTTTTTTTTTTCTTTCTTTAATCCCTCTTTTCTTTCGATGTCTCAATTTTATCTTCATATCTCTTTTATTTTTATATCACTTTCTTTTCTTTCTTTTTTCTTTCTTTCTTTCTTTATTTTCTATCTTTAATCCCCTCTTTCTTTCGATGTCTCTTTATCTTCATATCTCTTTTATTTTTATCACTTTTCTTTCTTTCTTTCTTTCTTTCTTTCTTTAATCCCTCTTTCTTTTCGATGTCTATTTTTATCTTCATATCTCTTTATTTTTATATCAATTTCTTTTTTTTTCATTTTTTTTTCTTTTTTCTTTCTTTTTCTTTAATCCCTCTTTCTTTCGATGTCTCTTTATCTTCATATCTCTTTATTTTTATATCACTTTCTTTCTTTCTTTCTTTCTTTTCTTTCTTTCTTTCTTTCTTTAATCCCTTTCTTTTTTCTTTCGATGTCTCTTTATCTTTTATCTCTTTTTTTTTTATATCACTTTCTTTCTTTTTCTTTCTTTCTTTCTTTCTTTCTTTTCTTTCTTTTTTTAATCCCTCTTTCTTTCGATGTCTCTTTATCTTCATATCTCTTTATTTTTATATCACTTTCTTTCTTTCTTTCTTTCTTTTCTTTCTTTCTTTAATCCCCTCTTTCTTTCGATGTCTCTTTATCTTCATATCTCTTTAGTTTTATATCATTTTCTTTCTTTCTTTCTTTCTTTCTTTCTTTCTTTCTTTTTTCTTTCTTTTTCTTTCTTTCCCCTTTTTCTTTTTCGATGTCTCTTTATCTTCATATCTCTTTATTTTTTTATCACTTTCTTTCTTTTTCTTTCTTTCTTTCTTTCTCTTTTTCTTTCTTTCTTTCTTTAATCCCTCTTTCTTTCGATGTCTCGTTATCTTCATTCTTTTAGTTTTTTATATCTTTATTTTTTTTCTTTTTTCTTTCTTTCTTAAATTTTCTTTTCTTTTCTTCTCTTTCTTTCTTTATTTTATTCTTTCTTTTTTCTTTCTTTCTTTCTTTAATCCCCTCTTTCTTTCGATGTCTCTTTATCTTCATATCTCTTTTTTTTTATATCACTTTCTCTTTCTTTCTTTCTTTTCTTTTCTTTCTTTCTTTCCCTCTTTCTTTTCGATGTCTCTTTATCTTCATATCTCCTTATTTTTATATCACTTTCTTTCTTTCTTTCTTTCTTTCTTTCTTCCTTTCTTTCTTTAATCCCCTCTTTCTTTCGATGTCTCTTTATCTTCAGATCTCTTTATTTTTATATCACTTTCTTTCTTTCTTTCTTTCTCTCTTTTTATCCTTTGCATCTACCGTTCTTACTTTCTCTTCTTTCTCTTCTTTTCTATCTTTCTTTCTTTTCATTCTTTTCTATCTATCTTTCTTTCTTTCTTTCTTTCTTTAATCGCCTCTTTCTTTTGATGTCTCTTTATCTTCATATTTCTTTCTTTCTTTCTTTCTTTCTTTCTGTCTTTCTTTCTTTGGCTTTATCTTTCTTCAGACTTCCTTTGTCTATCTGATCTCTTGCTTTCACGTTGCTTTTCTCTGTTTTTCTCTCTCTTTATTTCTACCTCACACTCTCTTTTCTCCCTTCCTTTCTATCTCCATTCTTTCTCCCCAATTATTTCAATCTCCCCGTTTCTTTCTGTCCTTTTCTTCTCATACTGATTTCTTTCTAGATCTCTTTAAAAGGGGATTTCAACTATCTCTCTCTCTTCCTATGTATCTATCTATCTATCTATCTATCTATCTATCTATCTATCTATCTATCTATCTATCTATCTATCTATCTCTACACGCCTCTTCATTATCTATCTATCTATCTATCTATTTATCTATCTATCACTGTTTTTTCTTTATGCCATACCACTCTTTATTCCAATCTAAAAATCCTCAGTTCTATCGCTCTCATTTTTGGAAAGTCTGTATAAAAAGGAAGAGGATTCAAAAACTACAAGAATGGGAGAGAAACGAGCAAAGAACATCAGGGACAGTGTACGACACACAGACAGATGAGTGAGAGAGTGAGAGAGAACGAAAAAGACACAGTGAGCGAGATAGTATCATCTTAATCATCCGTCAGTCTCGGGGGACTCTTAAATTTGTGCCCTGGATGACGTTTCCAACGCACAAGGCTCGAGAAGTTTGATGGGGGAGGGCAGCAAGCTGTTACCCATGCAATAGCCCCCCCCCCAACTCTCCACGTCGCTGAAACAATCGAATGGAAAGCTCAGTACCGATAAACTTGGTCCCACCGCCGTCGCAGGATTTTGCTGGGAGAATGCTGAAGACTGTCACTAACGGACTTAGCGACAGAGTATCCAGATTTCTAAACCGTTTTGAATTCCGAGTTGTCCAGACGGGCTGCCAACAAGTTTAGGGGGGGGGGCAGTCCCCGCCCTACAGTCTATAATGCAACAAGAGGGAGAAAATGAGATACATTTATATTTTTTGCAAGTGTATTTTTGTGATTGTGAATGCAAAGTTCTCGACCATAACTTGAAATCGGTTTGTCAATGCACATAGTTGAGTACTAAATAATATATATATATATATATATATATATATATATATATATATATATATATATAGATATATAGATAGATAGATAGATAGATAGAGGAGGCTGAGACAGACAGGTAGATAGACAGATGACCAGGTAGATGGATATGTATGAACTGACTGATATATATATATATTTACCAGTAAAAAAGAATTCGCTTATCACCATATTTGTAAAAGAACGCACAATTGGAAAATTTAAAATCAAACTCAGCGTTGCTACTGCACGCTCTAAAAACAATAACTCATTTCCAATAGAATTTTTCGGATACAAAAATACATATATTTTCGTTGTCCTCTTATTACTTAGAGTAAAAACAAGAACAACATCTATTCCATACCTGAAGATGTCTGTAGGAACAGACGAAAGCTTGTAGTAAAAAAAATAAGAACTAATGCAACAGAAATTTATAAAAACAAGGATTTTTTCATTCATAACAGGTTCGGGGTTTTTGTATATTATTTGAATTGTTTGCGACGATGGATTTCTCGCCAATTAAATCATTAACCTTTGTATTTGTTTTTGTATGAATAATTCATGAATATATATATATATATATATATATATATATATATATATGTGTGTGTGTGTGTGTGTTAACAGACTGAGATAGATAGATAGATAGATAGATAGATAGATAGATAGATAGATATAGATAGAAAGAAACACTTAGAAACAGATTCAGATAGATAGATAGAAAGAAAGAAAGAGACTTAGAAACAGACTGAGATAGATTGATAGATTGATAGATAGATAGATAGATAGATAGATAGATAGATAGATAGATAGATAGATAGATAGAAAGAAAGAGACTTAGAAACAGACTGATATAGATAGATAGATAGATAGATAGATAGATAGATAGATATGAACAGGCTGAGATTGATATGAACAGGCTGAAATATTTTAATTTAACAAAATTCTTTATAACCTCGCAATAATTAAAGTTAAGTTGTTCGATTTTATGTTTTCAATGTTATAAAAGATTTTTATGAAATCTTTAAAGTTTTTTTTTAATAAAAAAGTATTTAAAAGAATCTGCTTGCCTTTAAACTCCAGTAATTTACTGGGCTACGTGTTTTATTAGGTACTAGCTTAAACACCGCATTTCTTGTGGTCTTTTAAACTTGCTACTTTGTAGGGCAAATTGGGTCTCGAGACTAAAACGAAAGGGATCTCTGGTCCATCTTAGAACACGGCAATTATAATTTTGAAGAAATAACTTTGAATTTCTCAATTCATACAATGGAACTTCAAAACTTAAATTAAGTCTGATTCAGGTTATAAGGCAAAAGACCGATTGGGGCCGAAATTAATATTCAGGCCGAAAAGTGGACCTTCAATTGAGTTGAGTTCTTCAAATCACAAACCCTGTGGAATTTCAAAACGCCACGAAACTTGTCACAGTAACTCTGAATTCCTTCTTACTTTGAAGAAATATAGTCGACTTACTCAATTCATAAAGATGGAGTTATTTTAAACTGAATGTAAAACAAAAAAAAATTGAATTCACAAAGTTTTCGTGTTACTTTAAACTCAATATAAAATTAAAAACTTTTAAAATCACTTAATTTTTACAGTTATTCTAAACTTTGAATATTTAATTGTTCCCTCTTCATCTGGAGATAAATCTCAATACTGAATCTTCAAGCACAAGATGAAGGGCAAATTTCCAATCCCGGGATCTTTCTGGTTCCAAAAAGGTATAATGTGCCTGAGCAAGTGTAGCCCGAGTTTTAGGTCTTTCAAACACAGGGACTGACAGACAGAATGTGCCATTTACTTAGATTATCGAAGACGTCTTCTTTCACCAAGCGTTATGTTATATAATACCAATATTTATATAAATATATATATATATATGGTTACAATATGTATATATATATATATATATATATATATATATATATATATATATATATATATATTCATGAATTATTCACACAAAAACAAATGCAAAGGTTAATGATTTAATTGGCGAGAAATCCATCGTCGCAAACAATTCAAATAATATACAAAAACCTCCGAATCCGTTATGAATGAAAAGATCCTTGTTTCTATAAATTTCTGCCGTGTTAGTTGTTATTTTTACTACAAGCTTTCGTCTGTTCTACAGACATCTTCAGGTATGGAATAGATGTTGTTCTTGTTTTTTTCTCTTAGTAATAAGAGGACAACGAAAATATATGTATTGTTGTATCCGAAAATGCTATTGGAAATGAGTTATTGTTTTTGGAGCGTGCAATAGTAACTTTGAGTTTGATTTTAAATTTTTTTACAGTTGTGCGTTCATGTACAAATAAGGTGATAAACGAATTTTTTACTGGTAAATTTTTTCTGTCAAAGTGGCATGAACTATATTGTTCAATAATTACAGTAATGTCGCACTTATTATCCAAAAGTCGCACTTGGATCAGTTATTTTAATTTCGATAAACGTGCAATCAATTTACAAATTCATGAATTATTCACACAAAAACAAATGCAAAGGTTAATGATTTAATTGGCGAGAAATCCATCGTCGCAAACAATTCAAATAATAACCTCCGAATCCGTTATGAATGAAAAGATCCTTGTTTCTATATATTTGTATATATATGGTTACAGTATATATATATATATATATATATATATATATATATATATATATATATGGCCTGACGATTGCATCTAGCATGAAACAGATTGTCGACTCTAAGTGTTGACTTCTATGTTCACTTTATATATTTACACGCTCTATCTCTGACATTGAGCACTTTATCCCATAAATATAGCACGGCTTAAGACTATATATATATATATATATATATATATATATATATCTGTATTTGTTAAAATTTATGAAAATTATGTTATGTTGGTGTTTAAGTTACTAAGTAGATATTTGTTAAAATGTCTACATTTACCCATTAATTCATTTCTTTTGCTTGATAATTTAATTTATTGTTAAAATTAATTAATCATTTTTATTTGAGACATAAATTACATGTTCTATATTTAATATGATTTGGGCGTACATTTTTATTATTTCCCATTTGATTTTTGTAGGTATAACTTTTCTTTTTGAGTTCATATATATTTAGACAATGTATTATTTGCGTATGTATTTAGTTTGAGTGATATTTTAAGACTGTTAAATCTTTCCTTAAATCTTGTTTCAGTAGCTCCTATATTATTTCGCTTCTTTTTTAACATTGTTTGACACAGTTGTTTTATATATTACAATTTTGATTAAACATTTATTATCATGTGGACAGTTATTTTTATTTCGACTATTATAACTGTTGTTATTCTGATTGGTGTTATTATAATTTATTATTTTTGCTTAATATTTTCTCATTAGGCTTATATATTATGCTCTTCATATCATTAATACAACTGTAGCTGATTTTTATAGTATATTTATTAATGATTTTTGATAGTTTACTATTCTTAAGCAAGTTTTTATCAATTAATTTAAAGAATAATTTCCTTAGTTTCATTATATTTTTATAAGCTAGGATAAACCAAATTATATTTATTTTTGTTTTATTTTTGCATGTCTTGTTGGCAGTTATATATTCTTATTTATTCTAATATCCAATTTATCTTAATGCCGATTGACATATTATTTATTTTCGTTAAATATTGTCGCATTGCTAGAATTATTCGCTATTCTTTTTTTAAATAGATATTGGTATAGTTTCGTGGTCCATTTCTACTTTTCAAGGGATAGATATATACAGTGTGCGGTGGAGGAATTGTCTAAATTACGCAAAAAATGGAAATAAACCTGGCATCTTATTTTAACAGATATATTTACCAAAATAAATTACCAAAAGTAAATTTATTCAATAAAATCGGTATTTGATGTGGGGAATTTTTTTGTGGAATATTCCAATAGTATAGGTTCAAAAGTTTTTTTTTATTGTTTTTCAATAAACGAAAAAGTCAACCATCTCTAAAGTGCTCAACTTGGAACAGTTTTTTCCTTTTATATATATATATTTTATATATATATATATATATATATATATATATATATATATATATATATATATTGCATGAATCATTGATACAAGAAACAGATTAGTGAAGTTAATGATATAAATGGCGAGAATACATCTTCGCAAACAAATTTATTAAAATTACATTAACCCACGAACCTCTAAATGAATGTTGTGATCCCTGTTTTTAATAAATTCAACTCGTATAAGACCTTTTTTTGCAAGTACTTTCATCTGTTCATACAGACATCATCAGGCATGGTAATTGATTTGGTTTTTTTTTTTAAATCCATCCAGGTAATGACGGGACACGAAAGATTAGATGTGAATCGAAATATGTTTTATAGAAATGTGTTATTGTTAACAGTAAGAAATTCTGGAGC